GGGGGCTCGGCAGTGTCTCTCCCCTCCGCCCCTCCTCGCCAGGAGGGCACACAGGGCGGTCGGCCCGGCGCCACGGGGTGGGCGCTGCCTCAGCCTCCCCGGCCATCAAGGGCCCCCCACGGCCCGGCCTAGCTCTCTTTCTCGGATGTTCGCTGTTCCCACAGTAACGAAAATCACTGTCGCTTTTGAAGTGGGAAAGGGAGGTTCGGCAGGCTTAGTGCTTCACTGGTTTCTCGTTATGTAGTTCAGCAATTGCTTACAACAGTTTCAGTACGGTATCTGCCATACTGCCAGCACAGCAGATGTAGTTACCGAGGTTTTGCTTTTTTTGCCCATTAGCTGTCGTTGGGTGTTAATAAGACAAAAAGTGTATCCTCTAATGTTGACGGGATCGCACTCAAAGTTACTCTGGGGTTTTTTTATCTTAAACCTGTGGTGAGATCCTGGTTCAGAAGAGCATGACATCAGCTGAACTCCAGTTATCCCCAGCCAATACTTCTGCCAGTGTTTGTTTGCGTTCCTTCAGGAGTGAATGTCCTACAGTGTTTGTAAAAATGTTACTGAGTGTAGTTTTAGGTGCCATTGGTTCCCATGAGTCATCTTGTTAATCGTGTGGGTTTGCAATTACATTTTGCATTCTTTCCAGTTTAACAGATAAGTCCACACTGTAAAGACCCACAGAATTAAATTAGGAAACTGACTGATCCGTTCAAGGAAGGAAGACTCATTAATATCCAAACCAAGCAAAATTCAAATGAAAAAAATTGGGGTTTCCCTTCTCAAGCTTTCAGGGTTTTTTAACAGTAAAGCACATTAGAAAGACAATTGTATAAAACTTGGAAGCTAAACTTCGCACCTGTCCAGCAATTGCATTAGAGACCACCTGGAAATTCCAGGTACTGTAGGCATAAAGCAGAGAATCAAGACAAACATAAACCAGAATTTACTCTCATAAAAGACTTCATTTGATGTTGTCTTTGCTGTTGAGCTGGTCAATGGGAAAAGAGGAAGAGGAAATTTCAATCTTAATGTTACAGTGTAACCTACCAATTAACAGTGCTGCTCTCTAATACAAAATACAAGTGGCGACCCAAAGAACCTTCCTATCCAGAGAGCGCCACCAACAGAGGTGCACGGGAAGGAGCAAGGCAGTTAAAACGATTGAACTTACCCGCTCAGAAACGCCTAGGCTGAATTTGCCGGATGGAACTGAGGAGCCGTGACCAAGGCAGGAGAAGCCCTCACCCTCCCGTGTCCGAAGAGGAACGAGGAACGTTCGGGTTCCCCCGCTGGTGCCCACCAGAGGGGGCCCGGCCCCCGCCGTTCTTCCAGCTCCTGCACCAGAGGGCCGTTTGGCAGCTGAACAGCAGTAGCTTTTCTTTATTTGGTCTCTCGCCTGCAGATGTTTCCCATGATAAAGGGAACGCCGATTATTAAAATCATACGTGATGACTTAGCCCATAAGGTTTTCAATTTCTGTTTGAAGTGTAGGAGAGATTGAATGCTCTTTGGTTCATCTGTCTTCTTGCCAAACTCAGTTGTTGCACAGTAAGTTGTACATTCTCTGTCCTACATAGTTACAGACGCAAATGCTGTGTTTTTCTCTAACTTGCTGTGAAACTGTGCCTTAGTGTATCAGACTTGGCCTTGATAATCTTGGCGCTTGATTACTATAGTGGAATGCATCTAGAAGTAAAACCTTTGGTATGAAAAAGTTCAAATTAATTCAAAATGTGGCTGGCTGCCTACTAAGTCTCCCATACCGTAATGTTTCTCCTTGCAGTTCAGTGTGATAAAAAGGGCAGATCATCACCACGGTGAAATTGAAAACTGAGTTTCAGTTCTTTCTTGCTGTTTCGGCAGGTTCATTTTCTTCTTCTAGATGAGGAACTAACTGCACTATCAGGATGCCAAAACCTGCCCTTATTTTCTGTCAGGCATTGTTTGCAGTCCTGAGCGATATGGGTCAGGCAAAGAGTGAAGTCAGGACCCTGAATTTTAGGAAAGCAAACTTCCAGCTGTTTAAGGATTTAGTCAATAGGACCCCCTGGGAAACTGCCCTCAGGGATAACAGGGCAGAACAGAGCTGGCAAATCTTTAAGGATGCTTTTCATAGAGCACAAAAGCTCTTGATCCCCAGGTGTAAGAAATCTGGAAAGGAAGGCAAGAGACCAGCATGGCTGAGTCAAGACCTGCTGGTCAAACTGAAGGGCAAGAAGGAAATGCTCAAGCAGTGGAAACAGGGACTGGTATCCTGGGAAGAGTATAGGGATGCTGCCCGGTTGTGTAGGGATGGGGTCAGGAAGGCCAAGGCATGGATGGAGCTGAACTTGGCCAGGGATGCAACTAATAATAAGAAGGGCTTCTACAGGTATGTCAGCCAAAAAAAGGAAGGTCAAAGAAAGCGTACTGCCCCAATGGACACGACTGGCAAGCTGGTAACAACGGACAAGGAGAAGGCTGAGGTGCTTAACAATATTTTTGCCTCAGTCTTCACTGGCAGTCTCTCTCTTCCCACACCTCTCAAGTGGATGGACTGCAAGGTGGGGATTGGGGGAAGCAAAGTCCCTCCCACTGTAAGAGAAGATCAGGTTTGTGACCACCTGAGGAAACTGAATATACACAAGTCTATGGGACCTGACAAGATGCATCCTAGAGTCCAGAGGGAACTGGCTGATGTAGCTGCCAAACGGATCTCCC